GGGCGAGCAAAACTGATGTTCCCTCTCATCTGTGAAGTTTGACAAAAGACGTGCTTCTGCCTTTACATTTCAACACGCTTGCAGGTTAAATGGTAGAACTAGAACCACACATGAAATGACTGTTTTTTCTAGGCGCAGATGATATAAGTAAATGTAGATATTACAGAGGGAAACTGGTTCTCTTAGACAAACTGACTTAGCGTAAATCTTTCCATTCCGAAAAAGAGTTTTTTATGTTGTGGCTGAAACATGGCAAACGTCGACCAGGGGATAAACATACAACACAAATGAAAATGTACAGGCAAGTGTGCCTTTGGAGAAAACTATTTTCTCTCGAAAAATTAATCTCCATCTGTTGAACGTAACGGATATGATAAAGCGGCTACGTTCTGTCCGTACAAACGGCTCAAAGCAATATTCGCGATAAGCGTACAAAACAAAAATGGTTTATGTTAAAATCCTGAGTGAAAAATTATAGGTCACTGAATCCATGGTTTTCATTAAATCTTGTGTAGTTTAATTATAGGATGACAACAGAGACTGATTAAACGGAAATCAAAGACTGCATTAAACGAGATTATCAGTTGAGAGGTTAAAAGTTAATTTTTTTCGCAGTTAAGTGTTAAAAAATCGAAATGACTAATTGAATCTTTCGACGATTAATTTACTTTTTAAAAATTCCCGTAGTACTCTTTAATTACTTCCGAGGAAGTTTCAACCAGAAAGAGGCACCGGTATCCATTATAATTTCATACAATGAAATAAGTTTAAAATTTAAAGGAAATTGAAGACAGGTTGACGTGCGACCGACAACGGCTCAATCAAGCAATAACATGTTGAAGGGTCCTGGGTAGAAGTACGAACAATGTAAAGTAAGAGCATACGAAGCAACCTTCAATTCCTTTCTTCTACTTCTACTTAGATTTCTCCAGTGTACTCTGCTCTGCCTCTTCCTTTTGAAATCAATACAAAGAATAATGCACCAATCTGAGCAATCTGAGAATGTAGTCGAAAGGAGGACAGGGACAATAGGAACTTATTTCCTCAGAGAACGGTCGTCGAATGTAGACATAGGAGAAATATGCTGTGTCGAAGATCATGCGACTGATGAATGTTAATGATGCGAAGAAACGAACGGGAAAGATCTTGCTCAGAAGATACACAGATGGGAAATTTGATTTATGGCCGCGGTCCTTGGGCGCCCTAAACAGCAGACCTGTGAGTTTTCCTTAACCATAAAATTATAAATTTGTGTTAGTGCAACCAGAACGAAACTACATCCACCTCAAAACCCAAGCCATTAATTTGGTTCCAGTAAGTTTTGTCATTCAAAGCGGCGGACTAATACTCCAAACTGAGCCCTTTCTGCAAACAGTTCACCGCGCTGGGATGCAGGATCGTTGCAGATCTTGCTGCGGATTGGACAGTAGAAACGCTCTCTTCAATCAATATTAAATTTATTTTAAGTATAAATCGAAATAGAATGCATATTTAAAGGTGATTGACTGATCTTTGATTCCATGGATGACAACACGAGAAACAAGAAAGCAGTTCATTTACAAGAATTTTGACGTTTCGACCGAATTGGCATTAGTCATCATCAGGGAATGAATACGAAACAAAAACCAACTGTTTGGTCAGTTTATGCTTGACCCGATTGGTTGGACGTTAACCCGGTCGCCAATTAAGCCATGATTCATGTAGCAGGCCGCGGAAATGTCAATAGAGCCAATGCATCGCAGCCATTCCCTGATGACCGATGATGGTGATCGATGCCAATTCGGTCGGAACGTTGGAATTCTTCTAAATAAAATTGTTTTTTTGCTTCTCTTGTTGCCAACCATGGAATCAAAAGATATATCATCTAAGGCACGGTATCTGCATGGGCCTTAGAGACTGCGTAAAATGCATATTTCTTTCAATAAATTATGTATGAAACTTAAATTCAAATCAGTGCCTCGTTACACTTGAAACTTCACTGCGAAAAGCACGACTAATATTTGCCACTTTTAGCAAGCGTGTGCTTTATGTTGCTGCCCTTGTAAAGGAGTGAATGAAGGAAAGCTTACTGCCTGAATGAGATCTCCAAATAATTCTATTTTTCCGCAAAGGAAAATGGGAAAGATATGAAATTCTTGTTTACATCACGAAACAGGGTTTGTACTTGCATGCTTAGAGGGAAACAAAAGTTCAGGGACAGAACAACCACCAGTGAAACCGGTACAGAAGCACGAATC